TGTGTGTTGTGTGGGGTGTGGGTTTGTGTTGTTGGTGTGTGTGTGTGTGGTGGTAGAAGGGATTGAGAAATATTGTGTGATGAAGGTTGGTGAGTTTTGAGTATAGGTTTTTAATGGGTGTAGGATTATGATATTTTGTTTGATGGTTTTTTAAGTGGTTGAAATATTATATGAAGTTTGGTTAGATTGAAGGTGGATGTTTGTTAGTAACCTATTTTTGCAACGTTTTGATAATTACTTGCATGCCACGCGACGGGCTTTTAAGACACATGCTTATTATCCGGTATAAGATAGTTCAGAACCTTTAATCACACGGAGGACATGCTTGATATTTCACACTAATTATGTTTAACTATGCAGTTGGTAAAATAGAATATTGACGCGGAAGCTTCTCTGCTATTCCAGATAAACGGTGCAACGTAAGTCGACAGCTTACACAATTAAAAAATAAGTTTCAACCCCGGTACATTACAGCTTCACTTCTATACTCTAAAAGCGCTAAGGTATTCATTAAAGACAAAATTGCTTTTTACCCTGAAATGATTCATAAGACTTTCCTAATTCGACCGCCTAGTTTATCACTTGGCTTAAGAGTGTTATTGCACGAATTTTAATACCAGCTGATTTAGCAATGTCACTGAGTAACAGAGAAACGTTTCTTTGTGGTAACTTAATGAAAAGGGAGAGCGCTTAAGTATCTTTAAAACCATTTAGTATTCACTCTATGAACTTGTACTAAGACCAGCGGTGTAGGAAAAAGCAATTTCGAAGTTGTATTTTGTGACTTCGTTCTCTCATCAAAACGGAGATCCCGAAGCATAAAATGTGTTGCGAGACACAAACGCCTCGGTTACTTCAATAACACAACACTGTAGTTTAGCCGTGCTGGATAGGCGTGAATATGCTCGGAAGGTGGGCTTTTTTCAGGTGTTTCCACCCTACTCTACTCCATGTTAATAAGGTATAATTTTTGTAGAACTTGTAAATACCCTCTGGTCAAATAAACGAACTAGCTGGGCATTCCGTTATTTTAGTTTTGCTAAATGTTCCTTTACGTTAACAACGCTGTTGGACTAGACTAGGCCAGGTTTTTCTAGCTTTCTTCGTACTAACCAATAGTTTCAGACTGGCTGGCTAGCCGCATCTTCTGAGCTGCAAATTCATTACCAAAAACTGAATATTGATGGAACTTCGTTTCTCAAGTTAGCACTCACGTATCAAATGGAGCCTCTGCTGTTAGGGCCCTGCAGCAAATGCCCCAGTCTAGAAGAGCGTATGACAAATGATACTATGCTAAATTGTCCCTTATGCGCGTTAACAGCTGATATTTACATGGGTACTTTGAAAATGAATATATGGAACTTTCCATTCATATACAATGTCGAGCAGGAAAAATGCAAAGGAAGCTTCCATTTTCATTGAATTTCTAAGCTGACTGCCTTAGGTACCAACCGCTAATCCCATTGCGTATTTGCACATCATGAAAGCTGTTATGTACTTGTCTGCTATTAGGTGAAAGATAATCCATTGCCTTCTTAAAATGGTGCATTTAACATTACTGATGGAGTATGCTTAGTGAGATTCGAATGGATGCAAGGTTCCGCCCATAACTGGGTGGTAGCAGTGCGAATGTTCACACTGGGTATACATGATACCTTTATACGAATAGCCTAGTAAATCCTTCTGTCCTTAAGCAATGTTGTTAATATACAAAGTTTCGGTGTAGGCAGTGTAAAGCAGATGATAAACTTCGACAGCCAGTAGACAACTGAAACATAGCAAATATTATTCAGTCACTTGTTTCATTCATGCCTTCACACAAAGCGGAATAACTTTTTTAAACTGTGTTGTAAGCCAATCAAACTCAAGCCAAACTCAAGCCAAGCAAACTCAAAATAAATTCACCAAGGGAAAACACTTACATTAAGGAATTTATGGTTGACATTCTTGTCTTAGTTTCTTCTTAAGTAATGAGGAGGATTGGAATCATGTTTGGCCGATTCATTTTGTATCCTTTTTTTCAGAGTTTGGACATGGAAACTGTTCACATTGTTCTCACATTAAGCGGTAAGGAATCAATCGAGTTCGCGGAAGTAATGATCAAAAGCATGTTGTATTTTCAAGGTCGTTTCAAAGCAGACGAGCAGATATGCCGCACCGATCATTTTCCACAACGTGAACAACAATGCCCCAGTGGACTTCCTCTCAGACCCAGTCTCATCGTGTTTCATGTGCTGATCGATTTTCATTCACGGTCATACTTCGCTGACATCTTCAAGGCTTGGCATCGACCCTATCTACGGTGGCGATTTTATCGGACAGAATACTATGATGTAAAGTTTCTGGTATTCTTCTGATGTATTTGGTGATGTGGCCAAACATGCACCCAATCAAAATGCGCCTTCACTTACGTAACTAAATTATGTAGCACGCCACAATCCTCTAGAAAAAATTCAGTCAAGTTACACCTGCGCTAGCGTGTCATACACAAGAGAGTATTTGCAATATTATGGCAAATAACTACCTTAGACACTCTTTACTGCTCTTATTGAATGGCAAATTAACTAGAAGCATAGTTAGTTCATCACGGTCCACACTCAGTCAGCTGACTTTGGTTAGTCTAGAATGATTTAATGTCCAAGAGACAGCATAATTGCGTCTGGTATGCTCGCAGTCTCCATAGAACTAGGCCAACTATTTACTGTCTAATCGTGATGAGCAATCGGTGGTTGATTTAGCGAACTAATTGATAATTTACAATGAACGGTTGAGGGTGATCAGTTATCGCATTATTTGTATAGTGCAGAATGTCGTTCAGTGCTGCGTGTATTATTAGGTTTCAGAAAGTTGTGCTAGCTCTTGAATCGTATTCATGCTTCATTGACCTATTAACAAAAGTTATCGTCATGGGCTGATACGAGGTTTTAGCAATTCGAGAATATATTATACGCAGTGAGTTCCTCGTAACTATTCATTAAATGAAGAAAGGTAGCTGTAAGCAAAATTCGAGGTTGAAAAAATTGAAGTACACGTTATTCACGTTTGTTACCGAATGATTACCTCAGCGTTTCCCCATTATCTTCCTAACAAATAGTGCTAGCAATTTTCCCCTTTTGCAAGGTGTTCTCGGATAGCCATGTTTTAATAGATAGTGAGATACGCTATCCGCTCACTGTATACCCACTCTATAGATTGAACATGGTGCAGTTCATTGCTTGGTTTGTCGTTGGAAATGTTGTGGCAGTTCCCAGACCAGCGATTTATCTTCCGGACCTTCACCGCTAGTTTAAGCAACAACAATATGTCATCATCCAGGACATGACAAAGGTACCATCCCCTTGTCTATTGTCAAAGATCATGCAAATGATTGTCTGCTGGGAAAAACACTAAACGTCTTCACTTGCATTCTAAATGAAGAATACTCCATATACTTGTTACCAATGTAATTTCAACCTATAGAACTTGTACTGGAATTACAAACGCTTAGTCATGTCTAGTGTAAAAATAATGACGCTGTTCATACAATAAGAAATATAATTTGGTAAGCCATGGCTTATGATGTCAAGAGGCTTTGAATACAAATGGGTATTATAAGTTTTTACTATGACAACCTTTCACTCTTGGCCGTAGAGCTTCTTCAGTCCAGGTGAATCGGTACATAGTTGGCTTAGCATTTTTCTAGGAACGTAGCTTTTAGATTGCAAGAACTAAAACATGATAACTGGATAGCTGTTTTGGGGGTCAAAAGCTCAAATGGCCATTGTCGTGTAGAAGAAGCATCGAGCCTTCATTATTGCTCTGCGTCACCTGTCGTTCAGAGGTGAAGCGTTCTTGTTCAGGCTAATACTGATCCACGCTCCGACTTGAGTTTGCCTACCAACATCTTTTCTGCTTAGCCGGGTTAAAACGGCCTGCCGCGCGTTTGATAACTCCAGCTCACCCGTTCTCTTGACCTAGTTATTATTCTTATTAATCTCCATTGCCTCAGTAATCAACCTTTGGCTTGTAGCTCATAATCCTCTCATAATTATCTTGACATTGTCCTAGTCAATTTTGTGTTATGCGTTTAGCGCGTGTATGGCCACCGCTGAATCCCGTAGTGGGGTCCTGTTTTCAGGCTGTTTTCTCCGTGGACGAGAAACGTACCTCATGTGTTTTGCAGTCCTCGTGGTAGCTATCTCCCTTTTGACCTATACACAGTCTTTGCAATTGATTATATTAAAGCAATTGGTCATGCTGTCTCTTAGAACTGGATCCTTCATCTGTATCAGTGCTGAACAGAGCGTTTGACCATTATAAAAATTCACTCAAATTTTCTTCCCGTTTAGTACTTCTTGGATGGGTTCTGAGTTATAGGGAATTTCTAACTTCCCAATCCACTCCGTCGTGAGTCGCGGGCCTGGATTTAGAGCTTTCTGCGACTGGTGCTTCACTAACAGCCCCGGATGGCCATTGTCTATTAATTTGCTCACCAACTACTTGCCAGCGTTCTTCCTGTCCTCTACTTCCGTAAACGGAGACTGGCTTATTTCGCAGGCAGTAAAGGAATAATAGGATGTGGTTTTAGGAATTTGTGATACTGATCGAACAACGATGAAAGGTATTCGCTGAGCTGATGGCCACAATTCACTATCTGAGTGAGCAACAATTAGCATCCTATCGTTGAAAAGGGACAGAACTGTCGACGAACAGTTCACTTCTAAGACATCAAGATGTAGACAATGGAACAGGGCTTTGGAATAATGGTTTAATCAGATTACCGTAGCGTGCATATCCTTCACCAACCTTAATGACTCAGGTTGTAATAATTCTGTCATAGGCATTTTTGTCAAATTGCATCCTGATGGGTACGTATTGGCTCAGTTAGCCTACAAGTAATAGTTGTGACGCTGCACAAACTCATTCAGTTAAGAGATTATGATAAAACTCGATTTCAGACATTGCTTTACTAGCAGAATTCGTACAATGCTGGTAATCCGTTTATCACGACATATATGGGTGACAAGTGATTAGTAACGTTTCTCAGACATTCCGCAAATTTAGCGTAATTTATAAGGAATAACCGACCATAAATAAAAGGTTAACTTTGCCGATAAATACTCAGAGCATTTTCATAGGTTTACACAAATTTCTGCTAAATTAATTGCCATATTGGCATCAAATTTCTGTAGACATATTGTTATAACCACTTTCACATTTATTATCTTCTAGCAGCTATTGAGAAAACTGCATTGCAACCATCATTCAGGTGTCCCATCGCTGATGAAACTTATGGTCCCCAACATTTTGCCTTTAGACGTGGAGAAGGTGAGTTGGTAAAACTGGGTTTCCATAAAATTGCCAAAAGGGGCACTTTCCGAGTCATCATTTGCAAATAGGTCGTATTACCACTGCTATTTAGAAAACTAAATTAATTCAAAATTTGAAACCTGATGGTAGTTGCGAAGCCTTTCCCTCTATAGAAGGGCATGAAATCACACTGATGTATTAAAAACAAGATAACGATGAATTCGTTTGTTAATTGTTATTGTAACTAGGCAGTGAAAGATGATTTGATAAAGTCGCGATCATCCAGCAAATAATAGCAAAGTAACTTCTTGAAACATACTTGAAAATTATCGAAAACTCTTAATTACGGAAGGGCATATTTTTCATGTTAAATTTACTTTCGACCTGTCACATGACAACCTAACTACCGACATCTGGGCCGTGAACATTATCCCAACATTTGAGTGCTAATGCTGCTCCATTAATCCGTTGACGCAATTAAATTGATGGAGTTTTGTGCCAAATTCAAAACATTGTCAACCAATTGGAATACTGAATACTGTGTTGTGGAGGCAAGTAAAAATTTACTCATGTACCACTCCATTAAAACATGTTAAAAGAAAGTGAAAAGCAAATATCTATGACTTGTCAATACCCTGAGCATATTGTATGCTTTCAAGTAATATTAAAAAGGTGTAAAGCAGAGTAAAATGGGCACATAGTTGGAAGTTATTAGTGGTTAATCATTTTTGGAGTTCAGAGTTTGAGAAATGTATATACAACATTTGGTTGAAAACCTGCACAGAGTTGGGTTTTTATTTGCATTGACAAACTGTTCCAAACATTGACTACTGTCCGTTCAAAGCAGAAAGCGTAGAGAACTCACTTCATAACTTGAAACCACGAGGTTATACTAGTGTCCGCGTGTGCCCAGGTTATTCGAAGTTGACAATTGCTCTCACGTTTTGGAAGATACCTATAAGTAGAACGTGGTAGGTTATGATGAGGTTGACAGGCAAATGAAGATAGACAACGGTATACAGTCCTAGAGTCTGGCACCAGTCCTGGTACACTAAGCTCCTCAAACTGAGAAGAGCCATGTAGCAACGTGTCATACTCGTTCGATAATCTATGTATTTCCTTGTGTGGTGGGGTAGAAGCGGGTTATCCGTATCCTAGTACTGCTCAGCTGATGAAGGAGAAGAGTCGAGCGGCCACCTCTTCAGACCGTATACAGAAGCTGCGATTCAGCAACCAAAGCACGCGCAGTCCGTTTCGATGCATCCTGCTAATGTTGTCCACGAACTTCAAATTGCAACGTAGGAATAATCCTAGGTTCTTCATGATATGTACGATGTACAGTTGTATGTCGTTAGTGTAGATTCTGTTGTCACTGCCATTTCTCTGGCTTATAAAAATCGACTAAGATTGTTTGACCAGGAGGCGGCTTTTTGATGGCCAAAAGGAAAGTCTGTTGAGATATTGCTGAAGTACCTCACCGTTGTCGGAAGTGTCTATAAATTTGCACAACTCTAGATCATCTACAAATAAAGCACAGGACAACCAAAGAACCAGTAACAATGCAGATCTCAAAACTATGCCTCTGGATACACCACTAGTCGATGTAAACCAGTGGGTAAGATGGCCATCGACTTGCACCATCCTGAATCATCCAGCGAGGAACTTGCAGGTCAACTGTTTTAGTAAGGCGCCAACATTGCCCACTCTCAGAGAGAGGATAAGATGCTCATGATGTACCTTGTCAAACGGATCGCTAGAATCGCTGTGGGTCACGTCGACGGAATTCCTGGTTCACCGTTTGCAGCCATCAATGCTACTTTACGAGCAGGTTGGTGATAGATGAACGACCTGGCGTGAATCTGTGCTGTGTGGGTGTCATGAGCTATTCTGACCGGAAAGCAGTAACAAACTTTTCATCACGACATAGATGTCAAACCCATTGGCTTGTAGCTTTTTATTTTGCTAAGTTTACTGTTTGTGGAATAGGACTTTCCACTTAGCACTTCCAATCAATCCGCAACACAGGTTGGGACAACTACTTGTTGAGCAGGTCTGTCACAGCAATTGAGATGATGGCCGATCAGGACTTAAAAGCAGGCAGTGGAAAATGTCATACCCCCAGGGCAGTTTCTGTCGAGACTGGCGAGTATTTAAAGCACCTCCCCACAGCAATAGCTGGAGTGTCGAGTTCAGTAAGTGTGGTGCACGCCAAACTCGGTACAAGCGCCTGGTCTGTTAAAAAACGGAAGCAAATTGCGCGTCCAAGGCGGATGCACGCTCAGTGCTGGAGGTCAAGGACTGTTTGTCAGCGTTCTCACACCCTGACAGCTAACCCGTTGGCTTCAGGTGGCGCTTCACGTACGCAAAGATTTTCTTTGCAGCGTTTTTTTGTTGATTACAGGCTACCCTTAATAAAGTTTGCGCTTGCTCTTATAACACACGGTTTTAGATATTTTGATGCAGTTTGTGCACCTCGCAGTTTTCTGGAGAATCAGAGATAAGGAATTCGCCCCACGTTCTCTGTCGCTGCTGATCCAGTTTAGCATATTATTTGTCAAACCAACTTCACTCTACGAGTTCCAGGTTTCAAACTTACCAGGCACCAAGTGGTTGCCAATGAGTTTATTCCATTTTTATAACTGACCAGCTAGCTTCAACGTATGTAGATTTCAGCAGAGACCAAACCACTTCGGTCGCAGCTCTAGTCAGGTCGTCGAAATCCGTCTTCCAGTAATCTTAAGCTAAATGCTGTGTGTGGGATTGATGCAGTGGTAGCTTCATGTTGACTATAGTAACTGAGGGATCTGTTGCTACCAAGAGCTCCAAGATCCGGAGATAACACATAGGTTGTTCAAAGTTTGCTAACGTCACGTCTAAGCACGATGGACTTAAAAGAGTTGTTACGCGCTTCGGTTGGCAGGTTTGTTGTGCTGCACAGTTTCAACTACCATTTCCGAGAAGTTTGATTCGATCTCACAATGGTTGGCGGCATCCGGTTTCGAATTTGCCTTGAATTAAAAAAACTGTAGACAGTGAGGCAACTCTTGTAGCTTCAAATATGCGGTACCCTATCCAACCAACAGTTTAAGGGACTGTGAGTAACTGCACAAGCGAGCAGATCCCATTGCCTCATTTGGATCGAGCACCACGACTGCTCACATTAGCCATCTTCGCTTCAGTAGGTGCTCATAAATCTCCCACACTGAGAAGACTGAGTTTAGAGTAAGACGCCACTGCGAGCATTGTATAATCTATCACAGCGGAGACACAACCTCAAATCTCTAGGTGTTTGCCTCATTTTTCAACAAAGTCTATGGGAGTGCCAATACATCTGGTAGCTCGAAAGGTAGGAACCGGCACAGCTCATCACTTTTAATTGTAGGACTGCAGGCGTTGGTAAAGGCTACAGACAGTCCGCGGTAAGAACTAGCTGGTTGCAAGCATTGTGAGAGATGACTTTATTTGAATTTGTGTTCGTGTTGTAAATACCAGCAAATGTGCAATACGTAGTTTTGTTTCTCTCTCCGTGCTTCACTGCTTTCGATTAATGATGCTACAATGAAGTTGTTTCCGGTCAGGTGGATATTTTTTCCCGACGAATGCGCACGCTCAAACTTCTCAGCCTACTCAGCATAGACAGTAATAGCTTCTGGCTCGCCTCATCAGCAAAGGCTCTTCCCGTAGGTCAGTCCTACACAGCAGAGTTTTTGCAGCGGCATCGGTTAAATTCTATCATACGTAGTTGTTGATATCCGGTAGCACACTGAATGAGGACGATAACAAATTATACACGGTAGCATACTATTGGTTGACAATAGAGTGGTCAGACTTGTTGAAGATACATATTGCACCACCACACAGATATACGAACATAGATGGAGTAAAGAATAAGACACCATTTGAATGAACAGATATAGAACCTGGGTGATAGATCAGTCGTGGTCAGTCTGTTTCATTTTACAGCTAATGTGTTATTTGCATGCAGGCGTATATATGTTATGAGCACTGCACCAATTACAATTTGTACTTGGTTTGCCTGCTTTACTGCTTTAGTTATTTTATCAAGACAAGAATGCTCAGTTCAAGTTTAAACATCGGTAGGAATATGCTCGCTTAAGTCAACTCCAGCGTTCCGAAGTAGCGGAAAATATACACATTATATATGACCCTCTGGGTTACACTTTAAGTAACAAGCTTGCTTATAATTAAAGTTAAGAGAAATACTAATCTAAATTCTCGAAACCGCGTACCCGTACATTTACTTGCAGGTCATCATAATGGATTCAGATATGCTCTTTAATCACAATGTTCTTGAAATGTGGGAACTGTTTTACGAGTTCAATGAAAGTCAGGTGAGTTACATGTATAATCAGAAACATTTTAGGCCGAGCACCTTGTTGTTTAAAGTGTTCGGTAATTTTCGAGCTGGAAACTTTTAACTAATCCACAGATTAAGAAGGATATTCAAAAGGTTTCTTATTTTATGCCGTTAAACATTCGTTTCGTTATGGAGGGCAAACATAATGTACAAGTTCATCCATCGAAAACCGAATTTAGTTAAAAATGGAAGCAGTATAGATTGTTGTAATTAATTGAATTACAATGTATTTGCTGCATACCAGGTACATATAGGTATGTAACCACAATTTGTGAAAATCTATCCATATACATTGCGAGAATATGTTCAACACGTTGTAACATCTCATTACTGCATGTTGGATTCAGTCACTAAATGTTTGATTTGCTACATAGCAAATCGGACAGTGTATACCTCGAGGAAAGCACAAGTTTACAGAATGAGGAGCTACGCCTCCTTTTGGCGCTCAGTTATATTCTTAACTACCCGAACGATGACGCAGACCTCGTTAAGGTCTATTGTATGGAGCATGATTAAGGTTTATCCTAACTCGGATCCTGCTCAGGAAAGCTGAACACTTACTGGTCACCAGCCAGTTGTTCATACCAGTGAAATCTTCTTGGAAAACTATTTGCGTGTCAGAAATATTGATGTCCTTTTTATCATAGATATACAGCATCTACTAGCTTAGCAAATTTAACTTAGACAGGACGTCTTCTTAACTGATTTGGATGATCCTATATGATCAATAATCTTGAATGGAGATATCAAATTAGATTCATAAATTTCAAATACCACATTTTTCTTCCTTTTTTAACAAGGCTATTGGATTGTCTTGGACACTTAAAGCTTCACTACCAGGTTGCCAGTACTTTCGATACACACCAATCCCGGTATGTTTCAAAGTCGTGAACCACATGAACATGAGGATTTAGAGAGCAAAATATAGGTATTGATGCTAGGATTTCTGTATCGACATGTTAAAGTCTAACGAACTAAATCACTTCAATACCTATGAAATCGAGCAGTTATTTCTGGGAAGTAACCGTTTCACTAAGGATGGTACTTCGCATTTGCCACCTGCACTATATTTTTCAGATCGGAAGGTCATCAGACTTCATTTACTTGAGCCACCAACAGTAGCACGATACAACGATTTTCACATCAACTTTTGCATCTAAACAATAGTTAATAAATCTTGTTGAATTCGAAAATAATATCCAAGCGGATATATATTTAAGTTCAAATTTTCAGTTGTCTAAGAAGTGTGAGCATATTTAAATAGCATAATCTATGAATGCTTGCCCACATTAAACATTAGTTCCTGGAATTTACAAATTTTCTTAAGTGATCTTTCGCATATTATGATTTCTAAAAGAACTAACTTATAGCTCATTTCTAACGAAAACTTTGACATCAAAAGTAATAAATCTCCTATACATAGCTATATTTTATTTATCTATTTTGTTCAACGCAACTAAATTACAAACCATATACGCCAGACACCAATCCTAAAAGCACAAGACGATCATTCCGCCTAATTAAGACTAGTCAGCTGTGCATTCCCTCGGTCCTATTCAGGAAACCGATTCCATTAGCACCAATTGCTTGCATCAGTTACCAGAAGCTTGTGCCACTAAGTCATGAGGGCAGATAGCTTAATATCACGCAATGAAGTCTAACTTCAAATTACCCAGTCTTAGCCTTATTGTCTTGCAATCCCACAAAATCCCCTACCCATATGCAAAGAAAAACGCGGCCCTGCTACAGCAACAATGCTCTGTGGATGCACTACAAGTAGCGAGGGGAGTCCTAACTCTTGGAGGCCAACCACGCTCTCCTTAACCAGCAGTAACATACATTGGATTGGATGATGGGTTGGGACATACTGCAGTTAAATCTCAATCAATGATGATCAGCTGTCGTTCTTCCTGGCTCATTTGCACAATCTGCCGCATAGTTGCATTAGACATAAGCGGTCATAGGTTATCTCCCGTGATGAGATCTTGAAGGACAAAACGGGAGTCTGGAAATTTCCGAGGCATCAATTGGTTCACCAGGATTGTAGACTAATTAACATGTAGCAACTAAAGCTTGCATCTAATGCTCAAGAGAACTTTCGACAAATTGGATAAACTTCTACTTAGCCATGGAATTGCCGGTATAATTATTTACTGAAATTTGTGAATAATTGTCGAAGGGCTTTGACTGCGGTATGGCTAACTACGGTACGCTAAGCCTGGCGCCAAATCAAATTGCGGAAATCAAAAGTAAAGGCTGGGAAAATAGTTTGTAAATACTAGGAAAGATATTTCTATTTGGGGCTACTTATACATTGTAAGTATATTAACAGTGATAACATAAGCATCGGCGTTCTTGTCTCCACCAACGTAAACGATTTCCAGGTGACTGATTTTTCCATTTGTGGAAGTTCGTTCGCGCAACGACGTACGGCTCTGTTCACTCAGTCTAAGCCGCGGAGAGTTTCCCAGCTGCTCACACCGTAGCTGGGTTCCATGTTTGGCCGGCCCTTCAACTTTCCGACTTAAAATCCCGTTTGCGCTGTTGGCACAGCCTAGTGTCAAAGCACCGCGCAGTGGCGCTCGCTCTGTTTGTCCGCCTAACACTAATGATTCTCTATGGCAGAGGTTTTCCTTGGTTGTCGGACTCGAAAGTAGTAGGTCTAAACACCAACGACTTGTCATCTATTCTTTAAGCACCTCCATGTATTCATCAAGTCAACCTAACAGTATTAGGTCAATTACCTTTTAGTCTGGTTTAGTGGAAAATATAACGGCTCCTAGGAGTTGCTAATCAAACACGATTTCATGTAGGTGCAATTTACTTTATACTCACCGTCCTATCCTACACATACATAAGTTGACCTGCGTGCGTAGGATCTCACTTATACCACTGCTAACCAAATTGCTTCGCGCAAATTTAACTAAGGCGAAGTATCTACAATATTTCAGCATTGCTTTTTGTGAAAATAGATTGCAGATTCTGAAAGACAAATGGTTGATGGTTCTGGATATGTAGTGAATCCTGGTAAGCGCTTGAACAAAGCAATTCTTCGTGACCAAATTTAAAATTATATTTCATCTCTCAAGCTTCCTGAGGATAAGGAAATCCACACCTACAGTTGGCCGACAAACTTGCGGTATAGAGGCTGAAGCGGCTCTAGCCTATTCTCGAAGAAGCATTTACCCAGTGGCCGAGTGTTTCAATTGTTGCATCCCGCCAGTGTTTCTCCGTCTCACACATTACTTCCATATCTCAAAAGTGTTCCATTAGATTTCTCTTAATTGTAATTCTTATAGGAAAGGGGGGTGAATGGTGGTTTATCATTATTCCACTTGACGAAGCTGCGGAAGATCCGTTGGCATGAAAAGTGGCAGGAAGCAAGTAAAAGGTTCTTCGAAAGAAATGTCGTACTTGCTCAAGCTGATCAAGTAAGTCAAACATTGGCCATTGGTGAATGAATATAAATCGTCTAATAAGTGGTACTTATTAACTAAAAAATCTATAAGTGAGGTTGTAGGTAGATGGAGTAAAAATAATGATTGAATATTCAAGCAGGGGAAATGTGATAATAAGTGCTCATTTACTCAGTTGCGACACCTGTAATAATTTAGCAGAGCACTACGAACTATAACTTCAATCATGGCTTGCAAATCATAGGGGCATGTATAAAAGTGACTGCGTTATCATCTTATTTGTTAGTGACTGAAAAATGTAGTTACTGATCTGATGTGTGACTAAGTTTTCATTTGCAAACTACGTACCTAAAATTATAGCATGCACAGATACGACTGCATTTCGGTCATCTTTTGACAAGCTTAAGAAGCTTTAGTTGAATAAATCAACACTAATTCGCTCACTCAATCATTTGCATTTTTGTTTGACATTGTCCCCGCATGTTATCCAAAATGCTTACTGTGGATCTCTCGTTTACTTGCTTTCGTTTATTTTATAGGAAGTTATTCAGTAGTTTTATCTTGGTAAATGACTTATTCTGAAATATAACATGAGTGAACAGATAATAGTTATTTCAGGTATTATGACTAACGGGAGAATTAGTAATGCCTAACATACAAGGTAAAAATAGGGAGAAATGCCTGCCACTTACAACTTTGATGCATCAAACTGTACCGGATATTCTCTATGTTTAGTCATCTATTCGCCTTTGAATTTAGATCATTAGAAGGTACCGGGTTGTTCACTCTTCAACATTTACACTACATGGACTGAAATGGTCTCGCTTTGCGATATTTTCAGCGTCTTTTTCAGCAAATGACAATAAATTAACTGCGTATGTGGTATTCATTTTAAGAGCACACGTCACGCCGTTTGAAGGCTAAAACTTTGCTAATGTTTGCGGCCCCCAGGCTAGTTGACATGAATATTATAGTCAGTAATTTCAGCTAAATATCTGTCCTCCAGGCGAATGGAGAAACCGGATTGTAGCGAGCACGAACACAAACTGCGCAGTAGTAATTTTGGCTGCTGCTTTGTTGCCGCACAACCCAAATGATCTAGGGAATGAGGAGTAATAACAGGACTCTGGTGAAGCACGGAAATGCGCATTGAAACAGCAAGCGTGCATGAGCTTTCACATTGTCAAGAACGAGGTTACAACAACGTGGTGGTCGTATGAAGCTCGGACGATTTTAGTGTGACAGCATTCTTGCGGCTTACACTGTATCGCGTTCCAATCAAACCATTACCATGCAACACCAGACAAAATTCAAATAAGCGAACCGCGTACAAAGCGAACACAAAACGGCTAACTGGTAATGTCCTGTAAAATTTCAAGTAAATCGCAATGTAAGCCATGGGGAATACAGCCAGCAAGACGAGATGGAACAAATCACTAAGTCTAGTAGTCGCTGACTTCGTTTCTCGCTAGGAACTCAGATGTCACCTAACTCGAGCCGTGCGTCACGCAGCAACACACGGGCGAAATAATGCTCTCCTTGGCAAGCAGGGACCTGGCTAACCTATAGATTGTTCAAACTATCTCGACGTATTCAACACTAGTTGCCGCTCTAAAGACGAACCAAGTATTCGACCACGTATATCATCGTTGCGGATATTCTGGCACTAGCTGGCACCCGCAATGCTAAAACACCAAAGCGCCCTTCAGATCCTTCGGTCCAAGGCTGCATACCACATTTCCTTAAAGTGGAACGACCTGCACCATGATATATTACACACGAGAGAAACAAGTTTCTGAAGTCGCCGACATCACGGGCTAACGAACGGTTTCCTTACTCCTACTGCACGTGAACTGTTCCAATTATTTTTAGTAATTTGCGTGTATACTACCATGTTGGGGTTTACATCAAATTACCAAGTTGTGGCACTATCCAGGTAGAATACGGTGACAATATTTCACGTAAATAGATTCCATAGGGGGCAGTACCGCGGTCGCAATTTAACTCGTCTATCACTTTGACCTCTGTGGCTAGTCCAATCATCCCCACACAATATTGTGCGTGCGCTCGTTCGAACCAGTTCGACGAGCTCTACTCAGTGCTTCCCAACTCCTGGATATAACCTGTGTGCATTACACTCTTGCTCCAGTTCCCCGTTTTCGGCACATTTTTTGCCGAATTCCACTTGTGTAACTACATCAAACCGGTCTATCGGAAAAGATTTTGGTCTCATTTGGAAGAAGAAGCTGAGGGCTCCCAAACTACGGGAGAACCATCCCTGCAAGTTGCAGCATAACAAAGTTACAGCCTTTTTGCTCCGCTCACCAACTGAGCAGTTCTAGGGACGCTTACCAGGGCTCCACCTGCATCGTCGCTTAAGGCAGGACGATTAACACACGCTAACGATTTGTGTGGGTGTGTATGTTCCACTGCGGTCGATTGATCGCTGAATCCGACAGTCTGCGCGTTACGACTTCCATCTGCCTCTACCGACTGACCTTGGTGCGTTTGAACAACTCTCAATTCGTGTGCGTGTTCTGACCTGTTCGTGCGTCACCCCTAGCGCAAAGTACACTCATCAAGGGGAGCGCTTAGATAGGCTTTGCTGTAAACAATAACAGGATGACTAGCATTCCAATGGTTTAACGTCGCATATGTTGCGCAGACAACTGCAGTAAAGTGCTTAAGATCAGTAATACCTGTTCTAGTTGCATTATATCGTACTGCCCACAATATGCAGGCAAATCCTTCCAAGAAGTGAGACAGACAAACCAAGTTGCTGATATAATTTGGTTTGGCTCAACATGTCAAGTCATCCCATCTGGTGAACCTCGAATTCTTCGAGCAACACTAAACTCAGCAGATGAGACAGAGGCTGTCCTGCTCTCAGCAATTCGTCTTAGCAACTCAAAGAGCGGATTGCGCATATTACCTGATCTACCTTGGAAAGATCGCCCAAAAGAAGCAGTTGTCCAACGCGGCATTGCTAATAGAGAGAGCAAGAAAACAGTATTTGTTCATGGTGTTCCTGAGCTTCTGCATTCTTCTTATCACAATGCACAAACACATGACCGAGAGCAGTGGTGCTACATCCGCGAAGCACTATCTGTTGACAGTATTGTTGCCAAATCCCTGACAAGAGTTCTGTCATCATCTAACTACAATGGCTGCGGTCCAAGGTTAATGAGATTAATACTTCACTCGGAGGGAATGACGCAAGTTCTGCTGGATAGCTGGTTAAATTTTCGAGCTAGGTTGCCAACAGAGATCCGGCTAAAGGCAGCAGGCGAACGACCAAAGGTCGGAAGCAATTCAATGGAATTTGTAAAGGCAACACATTTTTATTTGCACAGTCCTGTGGAGGGACCGACACAACAGCGCCCACGGCACGCAGGGGGACCGAGCGCAGCACGAGTGTTCAGGAACGCTCCATAATATCATGCAACACGACTGAAATACATAAACCAAAAAACGATTAATGGACGGCCACCTAACGGCCGGCTTAAAAACAAACACAATCTTGACATCTATCAATGAACTCCTAACAACAAAAGCCCTATCTAGCATGTACACAAATGCCCAAGGCCTTCTAAGCAAGTTGGCCGAAGTTAGAGAAATCCATGCCTCACAACCGCGGGATCTCGTCATGATTACAGAGACATGGTTAAACCCTGAGATAACCGATTCTGAGATCAATTTACCCGGTAAGTAGCCGCTTCGAACCGATAGAACCGGAAGGGGTGGCGGTGTGATTCTTTACTATAATAAAACCTCCGATGTGAAGTTATCGATCACCCAGAAATCCGAGCTCCCGATTCGCTTTGGTGCCGCCTTTGGTTGCGAAACAAGGACACACGTCAACTAGCAGTGATTCATCGCCCATCAAACTCAACGTCGGAAATGGAATCCAAACTGAACCACGTTTTTCAGTTTGATTTGAACAAGTCATACACCCACATTCTTATCGCTGGAGACTTTGACGTGCACAACATAGAAACGCCGGCAACCGACGACATGCAGCTTAAAGCCTGCTTGCGAGGGCTAATTGCTAGCCACCCTCTGTTCAACCACGTAACTTCTCCTACCAGAGTTCGAACTGCTAACAAGCCGTCGATACTGGATATTGTGCTAACTAATGAAGAACTCATGGTTGATGGGATAGTTAAACAAACCACTTGGTTGTAGTGATCATGTTACTCTACGCTATGACTATATATGTTATGCGGAGTACCCTGAAAAGGTGGAGGATAAGGTTATATTGTCACACACTACAATGTGGTGTCTAAGCTTGTTAAGGATACATCTTGGACTTTCTTAACCGAATGCCTCCCAGATGTTGCCTAGGAAACAATTACAAGGACGTTTAGTACACTGGTAGCGCAAGCATCAGAACAGAAGTCCTTCCAACCCAAAAACAAGGGTAATTCATTTCTGAGGGGCAGAACACGTAAATTTGTGTGCCGGAGGAATTTAGCATGGCGAGCTCACCAGGACTGCCCGAATGCCGAAACCTGGACTGCATACGTGACACATCGTAAATTCTGTGTGAAACTGATCCGCGAAGACAAGGTCACGCATCAGCAGAAGTTATTGAAGCGATTCTGCACTAACTGCAAACTCCTGTACAGGCACGTTAACGGCCTTCGAAAGGTAAAGCGAGGGGTTCAAGCGCTAGTCATGGCTGATGGGTGCACGCGATCAGCAATGGAAGCAGCTGATCTCCTACGGCTTCATTACTCCCAAACTTTCCAGCAAGTAACGAGCACAATCATTCTCCTCATTTCTAATACTCCACCATCTGGTTTAGAAAACATCAACTTCACTGCGGAAGCTGTGTTGAAGAAGTTGTTATCCTTGCATATCCACTGTTCCCCTGTAGCTAATAACATCCGACCAAAGGCTCTGCAGGCGGTAGCTAGTGATCTAGCAGAATCACTGGCTGTTCTCTATCAGCGCTGTGTAGAAGAGAACCGTTTTCCACCAGTATGGAAGCGAGGGGTCATCACTCATATCCATAAAGGTGGTAGCCGCACTGATCCTGCCAA